CTATATAATTATGCTATGAGTAATTGTTAATAATGCATGGCTTGAATTTATAGAAAATATCACAAATACTAAAAAAAAGAATTTCTAATATATATTTTATACTTTGTTCATATCAGATAATTTTTTTGGAAAAACAAAGCCTCTTGTTACATCTATTGCATTATATAAAAACAAAAGATGTCGCTATATATACTTCCTTTGAAGTGGGGTCTCTTTTTATAATTGAGGCCAATAACTGCGAAGCATATCATACAACTAATACTAGTAGTTTAGTAGGGTTGCAAAATATATCCATTAATTTTTATTCGATTATCAGTTTTGATACGAACCAAAATATTCAGATATCTGTAATTTTACAAATTAAAGCAAATATTAATTTGCAATATCTATAAAAAAACAAAGCAACCCAAATACTAATATTTTTAGGAACGGATATTTTTTTGATTCATTATATGCATATATATACATATATTTAAAGAATTATATATGTATAAGTTATATACATATTATAGTTATATAAGCTTTATTTTATGTATTAAATTTATTATATTAGGTATTAGTATTTTAAAATTCAAATATTTTTATTTTTATAATAAAATAAAATAATATTCTTTTAGATTTTTTATTTACTTTTTAAATTAATTTTATTTATGGATCGAATCAGATATCTGTTAAATTCTTAAATTTTCCGGATATCTAGATGGTTACGAATCGAATTGATCGGAGAATTGATTATTCGGACGAAACGAAACAGAACACAAATAATTCCAAATACCTGGATATTCGATTCGCGATTATCCCTAGACTAATAGTATCTAATTTTATAAGATTCTCCTCCTTTTTATTACCTGCAGACTTCATTACATTATAATTTTTAGTTACACAACCGAAAAAAATTGTAGACGTTTATTAGAAACAAAGCCGACGAATTCACATACCCTAGAGCCACAAGCACCAAACAGGGGAAAAAAGTAAAATAATGGAACAACCCTTCTTCAAACATGAAATAACAAGAATAACACTAAAAGTGTTAGTGGAAATTGAATTTATAACGATTATTAGAATTTTCAAGTATAATGTTAACTAGGTGTTTTGCTCGCACATGCGGGCCTAAACATTTTATAATTATTTTACAAATATACTTTTACTAATTGAGTGATTATAATGATAAATTATTAATTATGTTTTTTTAAACCAATAGTATTCATATTTTCATTTAAACATTCTTACATATATTTCTTTGTATATTATGTTCACTATTAAAAATAAATCTTAAAATCAAATAATATTTTCAATTATATAAATTAAGAAGTTTACTTGATTAATATTTAGTTATGTATTTTCTATTTTTTTATTAAAATATATGTGTACGTAGATAACAACACAATATATATAGGAATTATCTTATTTAAATACATATTATTTAGATTTTGGATAGTTCTTATGATTATTATTATTCTTAATTACTTATCTAATTAAAATAATTAAATTCGTTTTTATTTTTATGTAATTTATATATTTTATTCATTAAGGGTATAAATGATGTGAGTTCAGTGTTACTTTTAACGTGTGAGTTCCATTACGAAAAAAATCACTTAAAAGCGGACATGCGGACTTAATATATTTAAGTCAATTTAAAAAATCATCAAAATAAATGATTATTTGCATCCAAATAATTCAACCAAAAACATTAAAATTTTTTACATTGATAAAATTATTCACAAATTAAAAACAAATCTATGTTTTCCTTGAAAATTTTGCAAAGTCTAAAGTCTATTTCATTTCTTCTTAATTGATAAAAAATATAGAAATCTATCTTTCAATTTGAAAAATTGAATCGATAAATATACATTCAATAATTGATCTTACAGAAAGAATAAAATTAGTTTGGATAATAATACAATATATTTGAATATATTTTTGTCAAACACGTATTTTATTTCTTTTTGAATGATCTTTTATTTTATATGATTAATTCATGTTTAAGGTTTAACTATAGAAAATATAAACATAAATTTAATTTAATGTGTGAGTTCAGAGGTGAAAAATTACTTTTTAATTTTACTTTATGAATATTTATTTATGTGTTTTTTGTTTTGTAATTTTTTATTAAAAGTATATTTTCCGGATAACAACACAATATCTATAAGAATTATCTTTTTATTTTATTTTAAATATATATTTAGATTATGGATAATTCTTATTAATTTAAATCATTTATCTAAATAAGTATTAAATTCTTTTTTATTTTTAGCTGATTTATATTTATAAATATATTTTTATTTATAAACTTATTATAATTATTCTCAGTTATCTAAGATAATAATATACTTATCTAATTTGCAAATAATAGTAAGGGTAGAATATATATTAACCGCTCTAACTTTTAACGTGAGAGCTCCGTTGCGAAAAATCACTTCGCAAATAATAGTATAGATAGTTTATTGATTCTTACATTCTTATTAAAATATATTTGTATTGATTTAATGATTTTATAATTATGTACAAAATCTTTTTTTATTCAAAATTTTTAGATTTAATGATTCTATAAATCTATTTGAGTAAGTGTTATTAGAAGTTATATTCTTAACATTTTTAATTCACAAAACAAAATTTTGAGATTACTACATGTATCTCTTGGATTCTTAAAATCATTATAATACTTTATTTTTATAGATTTTTACAATTACAAAATTTTCTACATTTTTTTATAAGTTTAACAAATCGCTTAACTTTTAAAGTTTACCAATTCTATAAAAAAATTAAGTTCCACTAACATCTCCTAAGATTATATTTTTTGAAAAAAAAAATACCATGGTTAAGTCAAGTAAACCCCAAAATAGATTTAGAAGACTCGTAACAATATTAGCCGGAAACTATTTAGTGCTATTGACTATTTATAGTATTTTTAATACTACATATGCCATACAATCCAGCCCTATCCCAAAATGGGGTCCATTATAAAGTCAGGGGCATCACTACTTTGACCGTTGTGAAAAAAAATAAAGTGTATTAGGTAGAGCAATAATCATGTTTCAGGTAGCTTGTTGTGTTTTGTAATAGTGGAATGGAACGAGTTGAAAATAGAGGAAAGTTCATTCAAGAAAACAACAACGAAAATGGAGGAAAATAATTGCTGTGTATTAGGTAGAGCAATTGTTGAGAAAAAAAAAGGTAGAGCAATTAATTATACTATATTTTCTTCTTTTATTATTTTCCAGCAATTATTTTAATACATGATGTGAAAGGTTATGTGTCTGTTTGAAGTAACCACGTGACAATGATGATATATTGATGATATATTTAGGGGAATGATCATCCTATATATATATGTTATTTTCTAATTTAACAGAATCAAAGGAAAATGGTTTTCCATTTTTTTAAATCATATATCATGTGGCTTTGAATCTGGATGATAATACATTAACAACGCTAGCATAAATTACAAGATTACAATTTTTTATTAAAATTTGTGGTTATTTTTCTCGGTGTGTTCAATTCAGATTAATTTAGTCAGTATACAAATACTAAATTTCTTAGAACTAGGTTGATTTAATTTTGAAAAAAAAAAAATTGTTCGGTTCGAGTTGTTTTCTTTAATAACTACACATATAGGAACATACGTGAAGATATATTCTATAATTTTATAAAAATAAAAATTTTAATTTTGAATAATAAAACTCTTTGTGGTGGTGTCTATTGTTTTTTTTTTCTTTCCAGAGGAGATTGATTGATGTTTGCCATACAAGGAGAACCAAGAAGTGCAGATGCTTCGGGCAGTGAAGGATTGAAGACCATCCAAGCCAACAGACCAGTTCCTAGAAGCGGTCCAATTCGCCCTCCGAGCCAGTTCCATCCAAAGGTCCCAAGAGTAAAAGCATTCAAAATATAGGTGGTCTTTTGATTCTGGTGAAGAGTTGCAGTGTATACAAAGCCAAATTAATTTCTGAGTATCCTATTCTTCGTAGGATTTCTGTTCAGAATAATAAGCCAAATTAGGAACTTGTATCCTAGAATACCTCTTGAGAACCACACCAAAGAATGCCAAGGGACTCTTTGTTCGTGATGTTTGATTTTATTGTAAATCAGCCTTATAGAAAAGACTACTATTGGTGTGCCAAGAAGAGACCACTGGTATTGATTAGAGACAGACGAGAGGGTAATCGTAGAGAAATGAATATGAATGCTTAACTGAGGGTCCGAGCGAGGGTTAGGTAACAACCAACTGCCGTTTTAATAGAGATCATGAAGAGTTGCTGAGGGTCGAATACTTAGGCTAGTCAAAGGAAGAAGCTAGAGGTAAGCCATATGTTTCCGAAAGGGTTCCAATTGTCTGACCAAAATCTACAATTCCTCTGATTACCAAGTATTATCTTCATCTAGTTGAAAATTAATATTTTAATAAGAAATCTTATAATATTTTGCATATAATAATACATTAGCATTTTAAAAGTGTATGAAGTGACTTAGTCAGATAGATTTAAAAAACTATCATTTAAATAGAATAAAGTTGAATGCCATTCCAATAATTCATATTGAATATATGAAAAAGAATTGAAATGTAGTTTCGGGAAGGAAATGGAATGTGATTAGAGTACAAATCAGCTGGTAGAGATGAGTTGAACTGTCTTTTAGCACCACTAAAAAAAAATATATATGTATAGTAGTGAAAATCCCAAAATCCAAATCTTTCATATCAACTGTTTGATACGTCGACCAACATGGATTCATTCATTGCTCAATTTATTGAATGTCTCGTGGATCACGAGATAATATAAAAATATCAAAAATACGTCGACGTGAACCTTCCATGGGTCGATAAATACCCATGCAATTTCCAAATATAGATCAGTGCACCAAGCATTACTTTCTTCTAAGGTATGCTCTCTCAACATCCCTCTAATCCATATCTTCCATATGATTTAGTTTTTCAGTGATATAGTTATTTGTATAATTACAGGTTATAGTATTCGTAAGATTATCAAGGCTAGGCAAAAGAGATGGCCCAAAAGCTGGAAGAAAAGGGTGGTAAGAAAGGAGGTGTATGGGATGATGGTGTCCACGACGGTATTAGAAAAGTATATGTAGGTCAAGGCCAAGATTGTATAACCTTCGTCAAGTTTGAGTATGTCGATGGTTCTGAAGTGGTTGTTGGGAAAGAACATGGAAAAAAGACGCAGCTTGGAACTGAGGAGGTAATTCATAATGTTGAAAATGTTAATTTTGTTCAATTAATATTGGTTACGTACTGAGAGTTATTTTGTTTCTTTTGTAGTTTGAGATTGATGCAGATGACTACCTCATATACGTGGAAGCATTCCGTGATAAAGCAACCGAAGAAACCATCGTGGATCTTAAGTTCGAGACTTATAAAGGGAAAACCAATAAGCACATCGAGACGAGTCCAGGAGTTAAGTTTGTTCTCCATGGTGGCAAAATCGTTGGATTTCACGGGCGTTCGAGCGATGTTCTACACTCTCTTGGAGCCTATGTTACTTTCCCGTCCACTCCTGGATTGCTGGGAAAGTGGATCAAGGTAGTAAAAAGGATTTTTTTATTAAAAAAACAACGCAGACACAACTCAATTAACTAAGAATTTTATTGGTAATACTACAAAATCTTAAAATAGTAATAAGCGAGAAAATAAAAAGATGATATATACACGTACAGTAAAGTGAAATATGCTTTGACTAAATTGCAAATCCAACGGAATAATGACTTTACAGTTTACACACTTGACTTAAATGAAAACAACTTTAGCAAATTTGTCTTCTAATTTAAAAGTAACTATAGTAAACTTGATTTAATTAAAACTGCCAAAATCTTGGAATAATTCCGCGCGGGTGTAACTAATCATATTATGAAGAGAAAATGATTATAATAGACCTAAAACAAATTTTATAACAAATATAGATCTTAACAATTAAAATGATCAAAATAACATTTAAATGTTTTATTAAACATACATTTATACCCTTGAGTTAATTAATCCTAGATTTTTTTGTTTAAAGTTAAGGAGTGGGGTTTTAGGGATATGATTTCGAATTTAAAAACATTTAAAAAATTTAAAATTTTCAAAATAAAAAATGCTATTTTGGTCATTTTAATTTTTGAGGTCTATTTTGTGATAAAAACTTAAAAGAGGATTATTTGAGAGAATTGCCCAATTATAAATCTCTTAAAGTTGTTAACTAATATTATTAATTTTTAAGGTGGAGCAAAAGGGACAGGCTCCAGGGCCAAGATGCTCCCATGCAATAGCACAGGTAGGAAACAAAATTTACTCCTTTGGTGGCGAGCTCACACCAAATCAGCCCATCGACAAAGACCTTTACGTCTTTGACCTCGAGACCAGGACTTGGTCCATTTCTCCAGCCACAGGAGACGTCCCCCACCTCTCTTGCTTAGGCGTCCGCATGGTATCCATTGGATCAAACCTCTATGTCTTTGGAGGCCGAGACGCTTCCAGAAAATACAACGGTTTCTACTCTTTTGACACGACCAAGAACGAGTGGAAACTACTAACTCCTGTCGAAAAGGGACCCACTCCTCGTAGCTTCCACTCTATGGCGGCCGATGAGAAGAACGTTTATGTTTTCGGTGGAGTGAGTGCCACGGCGCGGCTCAAGGACCTAGACGCTTACAACATCGTTGATCAGAAATGGGTGAAGTGTTCACCTCCAGGAGAATCCGTTAGCATAAGAGGAGGAGCCGGACTCGAAGTGGTGCAAGGGAAGGTTTGGGTGGTTTATGGATTCACCGGGTGTGAAGCAGATGATGTTCATTACTACGATCCTGTTCAAGACAAATGGACACAAGTGGAAACGTACGGCGAGAAACCTTCTGCGAGGAGCGTTTTCGCAAGTGCGGTTATTGGTAAACATATTGTGATATTTGGAGGTGAGGTTGCGATGGATCCACAAGCTCACTTAGGTCCGGGACAATTGATTGGTGGGACGTTTGCGCTGGACACAGAGAGTTTGAAGTGGGAGAGGTTGGATAAGTTGGGTGAAGACGAGGAGACTCCAGATATCAGGGGATGGTCGGCTTCCACGAGTGGAACCATTGATGGTAAGAAAGGGCTTGTGATGCATGGTGGGAAAGCTCAGACCAATGGCCGCTTTGATGATCTCTTCTTTTATGGGGTTGAGTCTGCTTAAACGCTTTAAAAAGTTGTTTGGTAATAACTGCTTGTGATTGTGTTGTGTGATGTGATTGAATAAGGGAGGATCGTGATGGTTGCTACCATATGATCCTTTATCAGTGTGTTTGTTTATATTTATTTTTCAGTCTCTGCATGTTTGTTTCATGTTTCGTGTTTGTATCAAAAAAATTGCTTATTTTCTCCATATCTTGGCTTTTAATTCATTGAGCAATGATGGATGTGTTGGAAACTCCGAAATTAAATAAGCCATTTATAATAAATAAAAGGGGTTTTATTAAGATGGATTGTAAAAAAATCTTCAACTAAAAGATTTAATGAAACAAACTCTCAATTTTAGTTCCGTTAATGTCTGTTACCTTTCGTCACGGAATTTTAGACGGAGAGTGACATATGTTAACAGAACTAAAGTTGAGGGTTTATTTCATTAAATATTTAGTTGAAGTTTTTTACGATCCATCTTTAGTTGATAGGTTTTATTACTAAATTCAGTTAAATACTTTAAAATCTTTATTATCATTTATTCATTATTTAAGAATCTTACAACTGATTTATAAATATTTAAAATAATTTATATTTTTTATTTTACTTTATCAATTTTATAACCTATTTATAAAGTTTTCTAATTTCATACTTTATAAATTATTATTAAAATTTAATGATGATTTTATAAAATTAAAGATGTGATTACTCGTCATACTACACAAACATAAAGTATTATCATACTACAAAAACATGAAGTACATAAATAAAGAAAGAAAAGCTTTGATTAATATGGTAGGAGTATAACATATTGGTTCAGAAATCAAAAGAAAAAAATAATCTTACATTATTTCTTCTGAAATAGAAAAAAGTACGAATTAAATTGAAATTGTGTAAAGAGGAGAAAAAAACCACTGCCATATTTTAAGTAACAGTGTTGAATTTCTAAACTAGTTAAATATCCTTAACACTACCTATAACTTTATAACTTAGAAATCTTAATTATTTGAAATTTGACAGTATTAATATAAGAAAAGTTTATGTGTTTCCTATTTCATAAAGCTTTATCGCTTTATTTTGTAATATCAAGAAAAAATTATGTATTATTCCATCCCAAGAAATAGCAGACAAAAACTTATAAAATCATTGTTAAACCTTATTAATAGTTTATAAAATATAAAAAATATTTACTAAACTTTATAAATAGGTAAAAAATTGATAAAGTAATATATAAAAAAATATAAATTATTTTAAATATTCATAAATCAATTTTAAGATTCTTAAATAATATATAAATGATAATAAAGATTTTAAAATTTTTAATCGTATTTAGTAATAAAACCCCTCAACTAAAGATTTAGAGTGTGATTGGTGTATGGGCTTTGAGGGCTTTGTGGTTGTGTAAAGCCACTAAAGCCAAATATTTGCCAATCACTTTTTTTAGGCTTTAGAAATTTGTAAAGCCACTAAGGCCCACTTTTTAAAAAAACTGTTTTTTTGTTCATTTTTTTCTACAGCCACTTTTTGAGACTTTACAACACACTTTTTTTTGTTGGTATGATAAAAAAACGTGATTTATTTTTATTTTTGACTTTTTGTTCATTTCTTACTAAAATAAAAGAAATAATAAGCATAATGATTAATAAATTCATTTTTATTAGTTAGTTTAAGTTTTACCACCAATAAAAAATCACATCTTACTATTAATAGACTATTTATTTGTTGAAGACTAAAAATTATAAATAATTGAAAACATCTAGGATAGATTCAAAAGTATAATAATTGAAAGAAAAATAAATACAATGATATATAAATTCATTTTCATTAGTTAGTTACATTTTACCATCAAGAAAAAATCATACCTTACTATTAATAGACTATTAATTTGTTATAGACTAAAATTTTTTGTATAAATAATTGAAAACATTTACGAAAGATTCAAAAAATATAATAATTGAAAGAAAAAATAAATACAATGATTTATAAATTCATTTTCATTAGTTAAATTAGGTTTTACCATCAAGAAAAAGTCATACTTTACTATTAATAGATTATTAATCTGTTAAAAACTAAAAATATTGTAAATTTAATTTTGAATAATTTTTATTTATTTAATAAATTATTATCTTATTTTAAGTGTAATAAAATAATTTTGTTGATTACAATTTCAAATTTTTACAATAAAGAAATAAAATATATTGTTGATAAATTTGATTGATTTTCTGTTTTTAAGCTACCCAATATATTTTATAAACTTGTATAAATAAAAAATAGGTAATACATTTTGAAAAATGAATTATAAATATATATTTATAACAGTCACAGCTTCTAAAGCTTTGAGTACCAATCATGCTTTTAACTTTCTCTAAAGTAACAGTTACAGCCTTTAAAGCCCAAATCTCTACAGCCACAATTCTAAAGTCAAAGCCTAAAGCGAAAGTCATTACCAATCGGACCCTTAATGAGATAAACCCTCAACTTTAGTTATGCTAATGTATGTGGCCCTTTGTCTAAATCTATCTTTAGTTGGGAGATTTTATTACTAAAAACCCTAAATAAAATCAATTTTGTTACTTCTCTAGCTAAGATATATCATCGGCTACAAAAGTTAGTCATGTTTATATGTTAAGTATGAAGATCACTTCTCACTCAACCATCTCTTTATTGATAGCAAAGAACGATTACAAGATAGCTTGAGGTTTGACTTCGATTACACTCTCATGGCGAGTGTAACCTTCGTCACCAATCTCATCACGATCGGGTCAAGAGTCTAGACACATACGTCTGACCAATTACAACATCAAGCATACCCTATTCTTCAGTCAAGCTTTCTACTTATACGTCTTCAATTCTTCCTGTTGCAGATTAACGGCAAAGCCTCTCAACAATCCCGAGTCTCTCCTTTGCTCTAATCCTTACACGTCATCCTCAGCACTAGCCACCTCAGCATAATGATAGATGATACCTATCATTATATTTCATATGCTCACATGCAAACAAACACAACCATCCAACTGTGCCTATTTTGCTTTGAATGTCTTTGCGTCTGTGCATGTGTGTTTTTGTGTGTTGTGTTTTGATTCTCTTGTTTTTTTTTTTCAACAACTATTATATTTATATAAACTGAAAAAAACAAGAAGGAAATCATGAAGAGTAAAATCTTGACTGGCATGTGAGAATGAAACTCATGCATTCCTTTATTCACAAGGACTTCGTGTTTGCGTGAACTAGTTAGGTAAGTCATGCCTTTCTTTGGTTGCCACTTTCTAACATATGGTAGCTATTTGGTGTAACTACTTTTTTCACCCATAGATCGATAATTTTATCTTCTACTTTACCATATACCAAGTAACGTTAACATTTCACCTTGCAAAGTGTATTTTCTTAATAGGTAAATTATGTAGTGTTGCATACTTACATTCTGCTGTTTGGACCAAAATAAAGGAAAGTATAATCAAAAGTTGAAACAGAGAGAAAATTAAAATAGGATTTTGTTACCACTTTTTGATTTCTTTTAACTAAATCGTAATTTAATACAATAATATTTAGGGTTCATAGATAATATAATGTTAAAACCAATAATTCAACTTAAATATATATAGTGTTGTCTTGCTCTACCATTTCATTTTTATTATACTATTTTATCGTATTACGCTTGTTCTTCCAGTCATCGGACTCACGCTTTAATGTTTTACTTTTATTAGTTTTCGAAAAATACTGATATGAATCCATTTGAATTTTGATGATAATTTTTCTTTTCCGTTACTTGTAAGTTTAAGTTGTAAAGGTTACATTCATTCGAAAAAAGTTGTGAAGGTTCACATGCACAGAAATGTACAACTTACAAGAATAAGTAGAGCATTTTCCTCACGTGTCCATAATATAACGTGTGTACCAACTTCGTTTTGTGTAACCACTTTTCTTTTGCAGCAAAGGGCATCTTTATTCCATAATCCCCATTTGGAATTCTTATTTTCTTTTTCCTTAAAAATATAAAAAATAAAATAACATCGACTAATGACGAATTGCCACGTGTCAGTGGAATCCGCATACAAAACACTCTTCAAATACGTTTTTTTTTGGCAACAATAGTACACGCTTTTTGGGCTTTTTGTGTGGCCCCATGCATAAGAGACCTACTTTTTTCGGGATAAAGATGCCCTTACAATTCTATTACGTGAAATGTTTTCTAAACTAAGAACACTTATTAAATGTGGAAATAAAACATGCATAAATGTAAATAACAGTAGAAAAAATTACCGTCAAAAAATAAAATCAATATTGCGTTTGGTTTATATATATATATATATGCATATCCCCACCCAGAGTCATTCATCACTCCCTTGAATCAGAACTAAGGAATCCTAAGGTTATAAATATCTTTTCGCTTAGATTAATTTCATTTTGTATTTTTAATAAGGTTCAGGCTAGATGGGAATTTGTTTTTTTATAGGATATAAGAATTGATAGATTATAATCATTATTTCCCACCTCTTCAGATTTTGTTACAAGGAAAAGTTTTGATTGTTTTCAGGAAAGAAATTAATGGCACAGAAAGTGGGACCTTTTGGTGGTAACAAAGGAGATGCCTTCGATGATGGTGTTCTAGGCTACACCGGTGTGAAGAAAGTGATTGTTGGTGAAAACGGGAACGGTGTTGATTGTATCAAGATAGAGTACGAGAAAGATGGAACGTTCGAGACACAAATGCATGGAAGCGTTACCGGAATACTCAAAGAGGTTTAAAACATATATGACTTTGCGTTTCTCTAACCATTTTGATTACCATTCTCTATTTTAAATTTTTAACTGTTTTTTTATTGTTGTTGTTCCAGTTTGAGCTTAACTATCCAGACGAATACATCACATCAATTCAGGGAACCTACAGCAACGTTACGAGATACAACACAACTATTGTGAAGACACTTACCTTCAAGACATCACACGGAAGAACATCTCCCATGTTTGGCAACACGGCTATTTTCTCAACAGATTTTGTGGTGGAAGGTAAAGCTGGATCAAAGCTTTTAGGGTTCCATGGAAGATCTGGATCTGCTCTTGACGCCATAGGAGCTCACTTTTTCGCAACCTCTTCTCCTCTAAAGCATATAGAACCTCGTGGTGGGTTCGGAGGAAATGCTTGGGATGATGGCGTGTACGATGGTGTAAGCAAAGTTTCCGTTGGACTAAACAGTGGCACCATAGGCTATGTTAGGTTCAAGTATGTTAAAGGAAGCACATCGGTTAAGCATTCTCATGGCAAGATGAGTGAAGAAATTAAAGAGGTCAGTTATATATAGAAACTAGCCCTAAGCTATATATAGCTTTTACGATTTGAGTTTGTTTTGCAGTTTACGGTGGATCATCCAAATGAGTACATTTCATCAGTGGAAGGGACATATAACTTTTCTGGTGATGTGACCTCCCTAACTTTCAAAACATCAAATGGGAGAATCTCTCCTGAGTTTGGAAAAGCGTCTGGTTCGAAGTTTGTACTTGCTGTGAAGGATCACATGCTTGTCGGATTCTGTGGTCGGAACGGTGTCATTCTCAACTGTCTCTCAGCACTAGGTGCACATTTTGCGCCGCCAGTTCCAACGCCATTATTTCCTGCAAAGAAACTAGAAGCAAAAGGTGGAGATCATGGTGCTGCATGGGATGATGGTTTCTATGAAGATGTGAGGAAGATTTATGTAGGACAAGGTGACTCTGGTGTTTCCTTTATCAAATTTGAGTACGACGTTGGCAAGAAGATTGTAGCTGGAGATGGTCATGGGAAGATGTCAGTTCTTGGAACAGAGGAGGTTTTTATGCTCTATTCTCATTTCTCAATACCCTTTTTTTCTTGAGACGCAAGTTTTGATGAATCTTTTTAATTTGTTGCAGTTTGAGCTCGATTTTCCAAATGAACACATCGTTTCAGTGGAGGGATGTTACGATAAAGTCTTTGGATTTGAAGCTGATGTTGTGACGATGGTTAAGTTCAAAACAAACAAACGTACATCTCCACCGTTTGGGATGGATGGAGGTACACCGTTTGTGTTTGAGATGAAGGATCATAAAATTGTTGGTTTCCATGGAAAAGCTGGAGACTATGTTCATCAAGTTGGTGTCCATGTCTCGCCAGTCTCCAAGTCTTAAAGCTTCCAAGACTTTTCTCTCGTCTTCGTGAAATAAAAAAGCTCTACAAGCTTGTTGCTCCTCTGCTTCTACTATCTTTTGAATATGTCTTGTTTTCTTATGTCGTTGGTTTGTCTTGGGTCTCTTGTGATATGAAGTCGTCCGTTGACTCTTTGAATAAGGTATCGTTAATGTTTGGACTTGCCAGGATCTGCATCCAGTGACTTGTTCAATGTTAAAATATAATATTGTTCCCTTCAAATATATGTAATACATACTTCAGACGTCTCTATATATATACTACAGCCTCTTAACAAAAAAGAGAACATGCAAAGCAAAATTACAAAACCTAAGTTTTGTAATTTTCTTAAAAGACAATATGGCTGGCTTGGTAGTGTGGAATGTGTTAAGCTTTTCTTAGAAAACTACATAAGAAAACTATCTCATATTAAAGCTTTTCGAAGGTTTAGTTTTTAGTATATTTATTTTAAAGAATTATAAACTTGTACCTCTTAAATAATCTATTGTCTATGAATTGGTATCATTGATTAATAAACTAAGAGCATGTACATCAATGAACCCCTTCTTGGGGTTCATTGATTTTTTTATTAATTTTTGGTGGGATTTTGAATAGTGATGAACCCGAGTCAATTATGTGTCTCTATCAATGAACCTCATCCCGGGTTCATAGGAATAAAATAATAATATTTTTTTTTTGTAAAAAAGAAAAATTTATTTTTTTGTAAAGTTAATTTTCAATAGAATGAGAAAGGAAATTAATCAAAAATTGATAATTGCCTTAAACTTAGATTGAGAATCATAGGATTACAAATTTATTTTAAAAAGTTTTTATTTAATACATTGAGAATCCATAAACATACAAAGATTATTTATCTTGATTAACATATTTTTGCCATAAATTTTCGACTAAATCAGCTTTCAAACGAGCATGTATCTGTGAATCTTGAATTTCATTGCGGCGATCAATCAGATTCCCGATAATCACAGATGGTGTCGGTTGAACTTCAGAGCTTCTGCTTGATTCTCCTGATTCGAACTCAGCCGTATCATACTGAGTGTATCGGTCGCGTTCGTCCGCTACTATCATATTGTGCAGTATGACACAAACTCTCATAACCTTTCCTATTTTTTCTTTCTCCCATTGTCGAGATGGGTTTTTAACAACTGCAAACCTCGATTGCAATACTCCAAATGCGCGCTCGACATCTTTTCTAGTGGATTCTTGACGTTCAGCAAATAGCGCCACTTTAGGACTTTGAGGAAGTGGGATGGATTGGATGAATGTCGACCACTTCGGATAAATACCGTCGGTTAGGTAGTAGGCCATACGATAATTGTGGTTGTTGACCTTGAATTTAACTTTAGGAGCTCGACCTTGTAAAATGTCATCAAAAACCGGAGATCTATCGAGAACATTAATGTCATTGAGGGTACCTGGTAATCCGAAAAAAGCGTGCCAAATCCAAAGATCATGGGAAGCCACAGCCTCTAAGACAATTGTCGGCTTTGCTGAACCTCGTGTGTATTGTCCTCTCCTAGCCGTTGGGCAGTTTTTCCACTCCCAATGCATACAATCGATACTGCCTATCATCCCCGGAAACCCGCGTGCTTCTCCAACATCGAGTAATTTTTGAAGATCTTCTGGTGTAGGCCTTCTTAAATACTCATCCCCAAAAAAGTGTATTATCGCTTCCGTGAAATGATCCAAACACAAAAGTGCAGTACTTGCTGCTAGTCGGAGATATTCGTCATACGCATCCGCTGCTTGACCATATGCGAGCATCCGGATAGCTGAAGTACATTTTTGTAGTGGAGATAGGCCGAACCGTCCATGACCGTTTCTTCGTTGCTGAAAGTAAGGGACTTCATTACTTAGGCGGTCGACAATGCGAAGAAACAAAGTCTTGTTCATCCGAAAACGCCGCCTAAACATTTCGGGTGGGTATGTTGGATTTTCAGAAAAATAGTCTTGCCATAATTGCATGTGTCCTTGTTTCCGATCTCTTTCGATATAGGATCGCTTTCTCGGCTTGGTGGCTTGAGCATCAATAACAGAGTCGATAAAATCATCAATTTGGTCGTCCACCAGATCTTCAAAAACTTCATATTCTTCATCATTGGTGAAGCTTGACATTTTTTTTAATTGTTCTTGAAAAAAACAACTTCTAAATTATTATTTTTTTTAAAAAACTACTATTAAATCTTTGCATAAATTATAATTTTTTGTTTCTTTAAAAACTACTATTAAATCTTTGCATAAATTATAATTTTTTGTTTCTTTAAAAACTACTATTGAATCTTTGAAAGGAGATAATGCATTCTTTAATATTCCTATAACAATTTACCATTTATAAAAAATAATTATTTATCTTCATTCTTTCTTATTCCTTTTATTATGGAGGAATATAGAACAATTTTTTTTTTTAATATAGAACAAAATTGTTCTTCGTTAAATTAGATAAGGAATCCATTCCTCATCATTCTTATAATTTTTTTCCTCTACGTTTTTTTTCTTATTCAGTCCTATGATGGTTACGAGTTACACCCTAAATAATTTCTCACGAGCTTCATCTACTAATGTGCAATGAATAGGTATCCGGATCATATGGGATCTTGCCATCTCTTATGAGTTATGCTCCATCGATTTCAACACCAATATCGTTTTGAATTCAGGTAATACTTCATTAACTTTAACTAGTGAATATATGTATTGAAATTCTAAAACATCAGTTATTTTAATTTGAAGTATTATTTAAAAAGATACTTATTTTGAAACAGAAGAAATACTAACCTTTTTTTTTTATGCTTTTTCTTTTGGAGAACAGCTTATCTTCAAGTAGATTTAAAGAGATGACACATTTTTAAACAATATTATTTTAGCAAAAATTTGATAACATATCTCAAACCAGTTCTAAAAATACTTTTCAGAATAATTTTAAGAGGACTTTGTGAATTTTTGAAGTTTTTTTTTAAACAAGAATTGTGATATTCTTGACAAAACATGAAATATGAGATTTCGAAGTATTCTTCTAGATATTTTTTTTTTTGAAAAGAAAAAGGGTTAAACCCGAATCTATTCTTCTAGATATTAATGTTACTAGAATTCTAAAATTGATTACAGTAGACACTAGAAATGCCAAGATCCATACAAACCGGTTCTTGTTTCTTGAATACAAGTTTCAAAAATATATTATATCTAAAATCTACTGTTTGGTTCTATCCTGTAGTTTAAATAATATTTTATCATTTAAACTATGTTTTGGACTTACAAACATGTGCACTATCATACATATTACATTTATTATCAAATTGTTAAATGTCAACCATATAGACTTCTGATTAAAGCTCGCTAGTAATTGTAATGTGTGACTAATAATTGCAATTGAAAATTCATTATTAATGTGGAAGTTTTCTTAATCTAATTGTCAATAAAAAGTTAATAAATGTTTCTACTATAAGGTTTGAAGTTTGATTTCCAAAATTATCATTTTTACAAATTCTTGAAAATATGCTATATAACATTTTAGCATGGTTTGAAGAATTGTAGCTTATTTCATATTTGTGCAAATATCTTTTTGACTATAAACTAAATATGCTGAATTCATTTACAAACTGCAATACAAATACAACCCACTGCCATTGTTTCAGTCATGGCCTAGGCCAACAAAAACATAAAGACAATTAGTTGAGAAGTTATATGAATATTTTAACCAGCGTGGGCAAAATTTTATAAAATGCCTCGTGGATCACGAATTCATAGATTATCATTTATTCGTATACTAATTGATTGATTGTCTATATGCGAATATGTTTAATATATACCATGAGATGTCAATATAAATACACGTAAAGTTCAATTCAACTAATCATAGCACCGATCACAATATACTATACCTTTAAGGTCATCTCTGTTTTCCTCTCTATTAGTAGAATTTCATTGACAGTTCTTAATAACATTTTGCTTCTGTTGTTTTATGTAATTTTTAAGATTGATCTAAAAACAAGCAAAGATGGCCCAAAAGGTGGATGCACAAGGAGGTAAAGGAGGCAATCAATGGGATGATGGATCCGAGCACGATGCAGTGACCAAGATTTTGGTTGGAGCCGGTGGAATTGGCATTCAATATGTTAAGTTTGATTATGTCAAGAATGGACAAACCGAAGAAGCCCCTCTACGCGGGATCAAAGGCCGTAGTATCGCAGCTGATCCGGTATTTACCTTCCTTGTTTATGTTGCTTAAATTGTCTAAAAGTGATTATGAAATCAACTTTAATTAAACCAATGTAAAATTATATATTTTTTAATGTTATTAGATCGACGTAAATTAGCATATAATATATCAGGGTTGGATATTACCAACATAGTCAAAGGCATGCCTATATTTTTTTTTATATATATATATTTTGTTTCGAAGTTTCTGACTTTTTGACCTCGATCCATGCAGTTTGTGATTAACCATCCTGAAGAGCATTTAGTTTCTGTAGAAGGTTGGTATAACCCTGAAGGTCTCATTCAAGGGCTTAAGTTCAACTCCAACAAGAAGTCTTCTGATGTCATTGGATACAATGATGGTACTTCATTCACTCTCCAAGTTCAAGACAAGAAGATAATTGGCTTTCATGGCTTCGCCGGAGACTATGTCCATTCTCTTGGAGCTTACTTTGCTCCGTTGACTAGTTCCTCGTTGACCCCTGCCAAGAAGCTACCAGCACTTGGTAGTGATGAAGGAACTGCATGGGACGATGGTGCCCACCATGGTGTTAAAAAGGTCTATGTAGGGCAAGGCCATGATGGTGTATCAGCGGTTAAGTTTGAATATGTCAATGGTTCTGAAGTGGTTGTTGGAGATGAACGTGGAAAACCAACTCTACTTGGATTCGAAGAGGTATTTAAAATATTGTTTGTTTTTTAAGTTAAAATTGAAAACCAACTCTAAGTGATGCCTCTATCAGAAGTGGCCAAAATGATTAAGGCAAAGTGCAATATAGCCCAAGAGTCTATGACCAGTTGACCATTTTTAGAAGAAAAAAAATACACATGCCATACCTTAGGCAGACCTGATCCATGTGTTCTTTGCATGCATATTGACTTTTTATTTTGTGGTTTCCATTGTAGTTCGAACTTGACTATCCAAGTGAATACATCACGGTTGTTCATGGAACAGTCGACAAAATCTTTGGGAGTGACTCTGCGGTCATCACCATGCTTAAGTTCGAGACTAATAAGCGAACATCTAATCCCTTTGGGCTTGAAGCTGGCGCAAGTTTCAAAGTCAAAGAGGAAGGCCACAAAATCGTTGGGTTTCATGGAAAAGCCAATGAGCTGCTTCATCAAATTGGAGTTCATGTCCTCCCAATCACCAACTGATCATGTGGCATATTTCTCTTTGATTCCATCTAATAAGTTATGATCTTATCTGTACTTTTATGTTTGTCATCGGAAGTCTCTCTATGTTTATGTCTCTGATGATCTTTGAATAAGTTGCGTTTACTTTTCATGTTTCTGTTTGAAGCTGCTCAAGTGTTGTTATACAAGTAATGTTTCTTTGTGAATGTGATCTTGTTTCGTGTTTATATGGGGTTTGTGGTCCAGTTTAGTTAAAATTAAATTGTTCCTGGAATTGTTAATTGGTTTATGGGAGGAGATAAACACGCAAATTTACAAAAACTAAAGAATTTTGAAGCTTTGTGTCCACAGGCTTAAACTTAAGCAAAACACAGGCTAATAATGGGTCGAATTATATAGGCCCGCAGAATTAAGTACGGGTCTATCAATTCACAGTGCTTCTGCAGAGGGTCCATTTTTTAGTTTGCAAATTTCTTTATGTAATTAAGGTCCTGGTTAATTAAAACACATATAGATTAATCCTACTTTACAAACAAAGGACTAGTTTGGGAGAAAGTTTAAACTCAAGATAAGGCCCCAACAAACAAAAAATGATAGAAAGAACATGATTAACCCAGTTTCTTAATCGAAGTTCTTAAATCATGATTTGACATTATTTTTTACACTTTTCGGGTAAGAGAGAGTTCTTATATCTCCTATTTAAAATTTCTTATTAAAAAGATGATTTTTAGTTTTTCTTAGTTAATAAAAAAAAACTAAGAACCGTTTCGGTAAATTTAACTAAGAAAAACTAAGAACCGTTTCGATAAATTTCAATTAAGAGACCGAGATAACTATGGTCTAATTGTGTTAATTGTCACAGTGCCTACTTCAAATGATACTTATTTTATATAGGAAGATGATAATTGTGTTACAAGTCTCTTATACTTTGACTTTTATTACCTGTAGGCTGTAGCCCAATTTATAAGAAATATAAATGTTCACAATCGACCTGTACATCTCTTAAATAAACCTGCGTAGGTGGCACTCAACGTCGACGAGTTTATGGTCGATCGTACACGTCAAAGTTAATGTATGATTAGTATTGAAGTAGTAAATCCTTTTTTATATCCCCAATTAACCAATTTAATAAAGACCGCGATTCACGAGATTTTTAGGCATGCACTATACATTTTGCGCTGTTAGTTGTGAATAATTAAATATTTTAAACTGGTAAATGATACATAAGCATTTATTACAAGTAATAACACCACTAGAACTTTCTATATAAAATTATATTTTAGATAAAGCAACAAGCCTAAAACACAATTTGCCCTTCTTAAAAAATGAAACTTCATTGGCGAAACAAAAGAAAAAGTCTCATTTTTTGCCTACCCTAAAAATCAGCGAGTGAATTTTTTTGTACTCCAAAGTCCGATCGATGACAGCAATTTTACTTGTTAAAATTCAACTCATTTGCTTCATATCCAAAACAATTTAATATTTTACTGACTCGTGGATCACGAGATTATATAATAAAAACATCGACATGTATTACGTAATTGCTGGCCTATATCCTTCCGGACATCAATAAATACCCATGCAATTCTACGTAAAAGGATACCTATACTCTCTACCACAATCGTTTATCAGGTTAACCTTTCAGTCCCTTATCCTATCATAGTTTTGTAAAATTTAATTGGTTTAAAAAAATATTAATTAATCCGTTGTTACAGATATTTTGAAGGACTTATCAAAAGCAAGCAAACGATGTCTCAAAAGGTGGAAGCACAAGGAGGTGTGGGAGGAGATGTATGGGATGATGGTGTTTATGACGGTGTTAGAAAGGTGCATGTAGGACAAGGCCAAGATGGTGTATCGTTTATCAATGCCGTGTACGAGAAGGGTTCTCAGGAAGTTGAAGGAGGTGAACATGGAAACAAGACACTACTTGGATTCGAAACGGTATATTTATAAAAAAAAAATTTTTTGGTAAAATTATATTATTTATAATTATTTATAATTTTGCATACATTTTATGTATTTTCTTTGCTCAACTTATCATTTTCTATTTTTTTTAACTATATAACACGAGGTTTATTTCTTACTAACCCTAGAATGATTTGCAAGAATCAGGACTAGACCCATTCACACCAATTACGGTCTACATAGACATAATCAATTACACGTTCTCTACTCACAAGAGGTTTGTTTTATTTCTTTTTTTTTCAGTTTGAGGTTGATGCAGACGACTACATCGTAGCAGTGCAGGTGACCTACGACAAAATATTTGGCCATGAGACAGACGTCATCACATCTATTACCTTCTATACATTCAAAGGGAAGGCCTCTCCACCCTATGGATTAGATACCGAAAAGAAATTTGTACTCAAGGGAGAAAATGGTGGCAAACTTATTGGGTTCCATGGACGAGCCGGAGAGGTTCTGCATGCTCTTGGTGCGTATTTCGTTACAACCACAACTAGTTTGACTCCTGCCAAGAAGCTACCAGCAGTAGGTGGCAATGGAGGAACCACATGGGATGATGGTGCTTACGATGGCGTTAGAAAGGTGTTTGTTGGACAAGCACAAGATGGTATATCCGTCGTCAAGTTTGTATACGACAAGGGTGCTGTGGAAATTATAGGAGATGAACATGGAAATAGTACTTTACTCGGATTCGAAGAGGTACTTATTGTTTGTTTTCTATCTAATTCTATATAAGAGCACCATTATCCCTAACATTTCCAATAGAGAAAATGAATAGAATATACCTAAAAAAGTTGTTTGTCACAAATATAGACATTGACAATTAAAATGATCAAAATAGCATTTAAATATTTTATTAAATATATAATTTTACCTCTTGGGTTAACTAACCCTGACTTTTTTTGTTTAGAATTAAGGAGTGGGGTTTTGGGGATATGATTTCAAATTTTAAAAATAAAAAATAAAAAACTTCAAATTTTCAAAATAAAAAGTGCTATATTGGTCATTTTAATTTTTGAGATCTATTTTTGTGATAAAAACTTAAAAGAGAGCTATTTAAGAGAATTACCCTTTTTCAATAGGTATCTTAATTATTATTTACTAATATATGTGTGTTAAGCATTTTATTTAAACACCGTGGTTTAGAGTAATACATTTTTTTCTTTTTTTTAATCGGAAATCACCTAAGCACCTCCCTAAGCATCTGCGTTAATGATGCTCTGAACTTTTTTTCATTAGACTTTACTTTATTGTGTTTTGTTTTGGGTTTCCTTTAATCGCAGTTTGTACTTGACTATCCGAGTGAATATATCACGTCAGTTGAAGGCACATACGATAAAATCTTTGGGAGTGATTCTGAGGTAGTTACCATGCTTAGGTTCAAGACTAATAAGCAAACGTCTACTCCCTTTGGAATTGAAGCTGGGACACCCTTCGAACTTAAAGAAGAAGGCTACAAGATCGTCGGGTTCCATGGAAAAGTCAGTGAGCTGCTTCATCAGTTTGGAGTCCATGTCCTTCCAATTACTAATTGATCATCGCATGCTTTTCTTTCATTCCAATGAATTTGTCACTTGTGTTGTATTGAATAAGTTTCCTACTGGTTTAGTTCTGTCTGATCATGTTTCAAGTGTTTTAAGTATTTGTCTCCTTTATGATATTGTTTGTCTTTGATGTTTTATATGTGATTGATTTTAATAAAATGGTTGATTTGATCTATGTTTATACCTACCTTAGATTAGATGTTGTTAAAGTTAAGACTTGAGAGTCTTGAATACAAGAAACAAAACCGGTAAACAAAACTAAACCAAGTGTACAAGTAGAATGATGATATCCTTATGGATCCCAACTACACATTCATTAATTAGCCTCACACGACTCCTCTGTTACTCCCAAATTCTAATACTAGAAATAGGGATGTAGAGTACACTAAAATCTCATTGCTATTTTCCATTTGAAGTCTTGTTATTGTAGGGAGGCAATTTTACCTGGTTACTTCTGTTTTAGGAGGCAAGTAGTGTGAGAAAAGGAGGGCAGCTCATGGAAGTTGACATGTCGCTACTTGATGAAAAGGTTTGCCTGTAAATGGTTTCTTTTTTTTTTTATCAAAAAAAAAAGCTTAATGGTTTGTTATGTCACATGGCAGGATGTTTTTATTTGCAGATAATTTCCGCAAATTGATATTCACATACAAGAAAAAGTGATAAAAATTCCTAAAACTTTATGCACAAATGGACATGACGGAAACCAAAACTACATTCATTTCTATAAGCACAACACTCTGAAATCCTGGTGTAATCACAAAGATTGACTGTGTCATGTTTGTTTTGTTTTTAGTGTTTATAGAAAGATGATGTCAGATCTATTCTTTTCTAGTGTTACAAGTTACAACCACATTGAATGGACATTACTAAGGGACGCGTATTCTTCATTTGTTCAATCTCACTGTGTTCTTTACCATGCTCGACGTTTTCAATAACAAAATCACACAATCGAAACATACTCCCTCTGTTTCAAAATAAGTGTCACTCTAAGCTCGTGCACACGAATTAAGAAAATAATTAATTTTGCATATTTTCTATAAAAAAACATAATTACCCATACACCTAACCATATTTCAATCAATAGAAAAATAAATTACATACTAAAATTAATAAATTTTACCTTGAAAACTGGAAACGACACTTTTTTGTGACGAAAATTTTTTTCTACGACACTTATTATAAAACGATTTTCTACGACACTTATTATAAAACGGAGGGAGTAACAATAACCTTTGACATCTACCTAAGGGCTTGGCATCAACCTAAGGGCTTGGCATGGATACAACCATTTCACGCATCCAACTAGCAGATATAAATGTAAATAATCTAATAGAAAACAGAAGAAAAGAGTGCAAGAGTATATATTCGAACACATAGATAAAGCAAGTTCTCAACTAAAAGTAAAACATTGAGAGGATGGCGAGAGATAAAGTCATCAAAACCATCATAATACCAAAACAGTAAAACAAGACCAAATACGGCAAAGAGAGTTCAAAAGTGACCAGAGGAGCTGTGCTGCTTACAGCTTGTCTTCGAAGTCAGACAATGGAGTCATCTGCTCCTTCATACCCTTCCTCTTCCTGATGTCAGCAACCAGAGTCGAAGCTTGCGAACCTGCCTCCAGAGGATCAGAAGACATCATCTCCCAATGATCAAACACACACTGAGGGAAGGCCTGTCCTGAGGTTGCTGCCCTAAGCTGACTGGAGAATCCAAATGACTCCACAACAGGCAAGTAGGCCTTGATGTTGTACAGCGGTGTTCCTGGCCTCTGCATCTCCTCAAACACGTGTCCACGCTTCTGATTCAGAACACTGTAGATTCCTCCAAGAGCTCCCTCTGGTGCCTGGATCTCCACCATGTAAACCGGTTCCAACAATCTTGGCTTGGCAGTGAGCTGGGAGGCGTAGATAACCCTCCTCGCTGTTGGGATAACCTGACCACCTCCTCTGTGGATAGCATCAGAGTGGAGCACTACATCACAAACCTCAAAGCAGATTCCTCTCATGTTCTCATCACACAGAGGACCTTCCTTGGACGCCCACTGGAACCCAGCAACAACTGAATCCTTGATTTCATTCAAGTACTGAACTCCCTTACACATGTCAACAACCATGTTAGGCCCTGTGGTTTCAGGTCCAAAGGCCCAGATCTTCTTTGCAAGATCCTTGTCCCAACCAAACTCCTCTGCCAAAATCTTGGATCGGATCTTAGGGTCATCTCTTGGACCAATACGGCCTTCATCAATTGCCTCAGCTAGACCGTCTTCCAAGGGTCTGGCCTCCATGTAGAGACGGTTATGCTTGTTAGGGGACTTGCTCATCACAGTACGGACGGATCTCTCCAGGACAGTCTCACGGAAGGAGACAACAGGGTCTGACTTGACGATCTCAGCACCACCCATGAAGTCATCCTGAAGATCCTTGAGACAAATCTCAAGATGGAGTTCTCCAGCACCTGCAACGATGTGCTCACCTGACTCTTCCATTGTACACACAACCATAGGGTCTGACTTGGCCAGCCTCTTGAGTCCTTCAACAAGTTTGGGAAGGTCAGAGGCCACCTTGCACTGAACAGCAACACGGACAACAGGGGAGACGGAAAACTTCATTGCACGGATAGGGTGGGCATCGACTTCTTTCTCATTGGTTAGGGTAGCATTCTTTGTGATGAACTGATCAAGACCAACCATAGCAACAGTGTTACCACAGGGAACATCTTCAACGGTCTCTTGCCTCTTACCCATCCAGATGACAGTTCTCTGGACACTCTTGACGTACAGGTCTTTCTTCTCACCAGGAACAAAGTTGGGACCCATAATCCTCACCTTCATACCAGTAGACACCTTACCAGCAAAGACACGACCAAAAGCAAAGAATCTACCCTTGTCTGAGGCGGGAATCATCTTAGAAACGTAGAGCATGAGAGGACCATTAGGATCACAGTTTCTGATGGCAGTGGCATACTGATCATCGAGTGGACCTTCATACAAGTTCTCCACACGGTACCTCTGGGCAGTGTGGGGGGAGGGAAGGTGAAAGATCATCATCTCAAGTAGTGCAGTACTTGCGGGGAGCCATGTCTGCATGACACGCTTCATCAAAGGCTTACCCATTAGCTCCTTCTCATCAGACTTCATCTGGACACCAAGCTTCTGCAACATAGGCCACAACTTGTCCTTCTGGTCGTTCATGCAAGTGGCAATGATTTGCTTGATGGGCTCGTAACAGAACTGGACAAACCCACGTTTGCAAGTGGCGGAACCAGTGTTTTTGCTGCTCCATTTCCTGGTGGCAGGGTCGAAGAAGTTCTCACCCCAAAGCCTCTCCATCATTTTAGTTTCATCAACACCGAACTTGGAAGCATACATCTTAGCGAAATTGGTAAGAGTGAAAGCCCATCCGTGGAGACCAGCAGAGAAAGCCACAGTACCCTTCTCAGGGTAAACCTGAACATCACCAAGGAGAGGATCCTCATACGTAGCCATGATGACATTAGCATTCTCAATGACCCTCTGGAAAGTCTGGTAAGCCTCCTCACCGTCAACCTGAAGCTCAAGGAAACACCTGTCCATCTTGTTCACAGTCAGAACAGGCCTAATCCTCTCACCAAGAGCCTGACGCAGCACAGTCTCGGTCTGAACACAGACACCCTCGATACAGTCGACCACCACAAGAGCACCATCGGTAATACGGAGAGCAGCAGTGACCTCAGAAGAGAAGTCAACGTGGCCAGGAGAGTCAATGAGATTGATAAGGTACTCGTTTCCATCTCTGGCACCAGTGAAACTCTTCAAGGAAGCATCAGTCATCTCATAGTAGAGAGAAATACCAGTGGACTTGATAGTGATACCACGTTCAGCTTCATCAGCACGAGTATCAGTCATACGAACATCACCAGCAACTTCTTGCGCAATGATACCAGCAGCAGCAACCAGAGAGTCAGTGAGAGTGGATTTACCTGTCAGACAAGAAATAAAAATTAGATATTAGCTTTAAGCATATGTCCAAAGAGCAGTAAATAATTAAAAGCTGAAAATAAAGGAAAAGAGAGTTACCATGGTCGACATGGGCAATAACGGACATATTACGAATGTTGTGTTTGTAGTCCATAATCCTACGAAGCTCATCAGCTGTGAACTTCACCTGCAAAGTTTATAAAAATAATATATTTCCAGCTTTAGAATTAAAAAAAAAAAATAGAGGGATATAAAGTTCAAAAATAATGAAACAACAAGGCTTACCATTTTGAATAAGTTTTACTTGACACCAACAAAATCTCTGCAAATTCACAGAAACAAATGAAATAAAAACGATTAGAGAGATACAGTAAGAACAGTTGTATTCATAAACTCAGTTATCTCCTAACACGATTAGAGATACAACAATATATCGGCACAAATCTTACACATTATGCACCAGTGGTATAATTTTCATAGGATATAACAAGAGAACAAAAAAAAACACTATTACTTGTATAATATCAAGATTACAATCACGAAGTATGGTTTAGATCTTGTCAGAGCTACATCTTTAAATGATTTCTTAGACCAGATCTTAAAAAAACGACAGGAAAAGAACAGACCGATCACAACAACAATCAAGGACGACAAACAACGGTATTACTAATCTAACTATGCAGATCGAATACAAATTAACATCAAAGATCGGATAAAGAGATTTGGAACATGTAATTAAATTTGAGAATATAGAATAAGGAAGAAAGGGACTGACCTTAGAGGGGAACGAAGGGAGGGGAGAAAAAGAGGTGCAAAGGGGCGCTAAAGCAGCCGGAAGCTTAATATATAGTGATGAACGAGATGCCAAGAGTATATGCTAGGGTTTCGCGTGATCCTTAGTGGGCCAATTACCTTCGGCCCATGATTAAAATCTTGTTCTTTTTAAAATAAAACTAAAACAACCAAAACTTAAAGGAATTTAACTATCAACACTCTTACTGTTTATATATGTCAACGTTGGTTTGAGATTGTGATCCTATACGAAAAAGCATGACGTATCTTTTTTTTTTAACACTAGTAAATTTCATTGAAACAAAACAAGGTGCTACACTGGGTGAGATACAAAACTAGCAAGTTATACAACTCCTAGAAGTTTAAGCCACCATTAAACATAAATTTACACTGGAGATTAAGACCGACAGAATTAAAAAAAAAAAAATCGGCAAAAACAACAAAACATAATACACACAGACTTAAAGTACGACCAATCATAGAACTAGATCATAACAACAAAACAGCCAAATAATGAGACAAACCAAGATAGAGAGGAAGGCATAAGCACACACCCACAAGCAAACTTTATTAAGGGAAGCATGACATATCTATTTGTATAATAAATGCTTTAATTTTTTTTAAGATCCTACTATCCAAACATGTGGACAAAAAAAAAATCAAATTAAAATTAAATTACGATAAAAGTTATAATGTAATTCACAGTAAAAACTATATAGTATAAACATTAGATCTACGTAGTGACTATAAATTGCAGTATATATTACGAAGAAGAAATTTATGAATATCATTAATAATAACATTTATAAAAATAACAACCTTTGCTACAAATTTAATAAAATTGATTATATTTTAAATATACTATATTAAGTAAATCAAATTAAAATTAAAAAAATATATTAATATAACTATGTATGTTCTCTCAAAATGTATATATATATATATATATTTACATAAAATTTTATGTATGTAAGACTATTAATTACCAAACAGAATTAGAAATTAAAATTATAGAAAAAGTTTTAGATAAAGTTTTGACTAACTAGTAAACATTCATGTAAAGTTTTGAAAATGCTTTAATGGCTGACAAAAACAAACGTGAGATAACCATGCATATGCATGTATTAAACAAAAGTAAAATTGTTAAAAAAAAATTACATAAGTAACAGTAGGAATTAACTAACATAGAACCTAAAAAAATAGTAATTTAACTTCTAACTAATGCATGAAATTCTGTTGATGTTGAGTTAACATTTGAGTTATCAAATTTTCAAAGGGATAACTCAAAATTATAAGCCATACCTATTATTACACTATAAGTCAAACAATAACTCAAAAAATTTAAAATAATTCATGAGTGGTATATCATAGCTTAAAATAATTTAGTGGCAGTGAATTGTAAATATTGTTGAAACAAGAGAATACCTCAAAAAATATCATTATGTTTTAATAGTATTGATATGGTATATGCCTTGCATTACAAAGCTTGTCATTGTTTATAATGTTAAAAAATCTCTGATTTTCTTTTTTTTTACTTAGTAAAAGAGAAATATTCTATAATCAAATAGAGATATGTTACATTTCTTTAGTCACTCAAATAAGACCCCTTACCATACTTATTATTTTGCCACCTAAAAACATTTGATATATAATTCAAGGAACTAGACAAAAATTCAAATAAATTTTATTCATTAAGACGGATCACGAATCCAGTTGAGACAGAACAACAACATAAAGAGAGAAAACTTAAAAGGTGGAAAAAGCTTATTCAAAGTTCAAAGACCATTAAGAGAGTAGGACAACAAAGGCGTGACAAATTCAAGATCTCCACGATTAGTTGGTGATGGGAAGGACATGGACTCCAAAGTTATGAAGCAGATCACCAGCGCTCCCGTGGAACCCAACGATCTTGTGGCCTTCCTCCTTGAGATCGAAGGGTGTGCCAGCGGTAAGCCCAAAGGGACCATATGTTGCTGGTTTATTAGTCTTGAACGTAAGCATGGTAAGGACCGCAGACTCACTCCCAAATATTTTATCGAATGTGCCATGTACTTCCGTGATGTATTCACTTGGATAGTCAAGCTCAAACTACAATCAAAGTACCCCAAACCAAACTGACATTAGTCCCTATCTTGAAAATGCAAAAAAAAAAAAAAAAGTAAGAACTAATTACCTCTTCGAATCCAAGTAAAGTACTCTTTCCATGTTCATCTCCTATGATTTCAGAAGAACCTTTGTTGTACACAAACTTAACCGCTGCTATACCATCTTGGGATTGTCCAACAGAGACTTTTTTTACGCCGTCGAAAGCACCATCATCCCATGATGTTCCTCCATCACCACCCTTAGCTTCTAGCTTCTTGGTTGGCTTTGCAGGTTCCAAAGGGATGGTGCCTACTGGAGCTAAGTAAACTCCAATAGCATTAATAGTCTCACCAGCTCGTCCATGGAACCCTGTAATCTTGTAACCTGCCTCCTTGAGGTCAAAGTGTGTGCTACCTTCGAGACCATACGGCCCATATGTTCTGTTCTTGTTAGTCTTGAAAGTGAGCATCGTCAGGCCATCACTCCCTAAGATTTTGTCGTAGGTGCCTTCCACGATGGTTATGTATTCATCTGATTCAAGCTCAAACTGCGCAATAGAAAGGCATAACAAAAATATTGAAACTAGCTCCACATAACATATTATATATCTGTTTTCACGTACCTCTTCGTATCCAAGCAATGTTGGTGTCCCACGTTCAGCTCCGATAACCACTTGAGAACCATTTCTGTATTCAAACTTGACAGCTGCTACACCATCTTGTCCTTGTCCTACAGAAACCTTTTTAACATTGTCGTGAGCACCATCGTCCCACTCAGCTCCAGATACACCACCCTTAGCTTCAAGCTTCTTTGGGGGGACTGAAGGAGGGGCGGCTATTAATGGAGCAAAGTAAGCTCCAAGAGAATTAAGATTGTCTCCGGCGAAGCCATGAAAGCCAATTATCTTCTTGTCTTGAACTTGGAGGGTGAATGGAGTACCATCATTGTATCCAATGACATCAGAAGACTTCTTGTTGGAGTTGAACTTAAGCCCTTGAATGAGACCAGAAGAGTCATACCAACCTTCTACTGAAACTAGATGCTCCTCTGGATGGTTAATCACAAACTGAAAAGATCCACCGGAAGATCAAAATGTCAAAACTTTTTAAAGAAAATACTCATTCTATGTCATAAGATAGATGTTCGTTCTAAAAAAAGTTATTTTTAAAAAATTATGTATTTTTATTAGGTGACAATGATAAATTGCAAAAAAAAAAAAAAATTATATTTATTGTATTTTATTTAGCTCAGATTATGGAAGATATACTATCATAGAAAATAATATATTTAACAAAAAATCAATTATTTTCTTAATATGTGTGGAAATACTAAAACACACATGATTTTGAAACAGATGAGTACGTATAAGCATTACCCTTAACTATGTTTAATAACATACAATCCTGATTTATTATGCTAGTTTAAAATTAATATAATAATATTGAAAATATATAATCTTGATATTGTTTTTATTCAGCCCATCCCATAATAACTTGTAGAAAAAGTTTTAGAACATAAGGAAAGTGTATTGGTACCGGATCAGCTGCGATGGCACGGCCCTTGATACCACGAAGAGGAGCTGTTACGGTTTGTCCGTTCTTGACATAGTCGAACTGAACATATTGGATACCACTCCCACCTGCAGCTATCTCAATCTTGGTTACAGCGTCGTGTTCTGATCCATCATCCCATTGGTTGCCTCCATTTCCTCCTTGTGCTTCCACCTTTTGAGCCATCTCTTTTGCTTACGAATATTACCTGTAACTAAAACACAAATTGTTTTATAATCATAGTTTTCTACAGATCTATCATATGAGAGAGAGAGAGAGAGTTGACCTGAGAAGAGAGGGTGAGAGTTGGTGATCAATACAAAGAACTACCTCGGTATTTATTGAGCTTTGTAAACTTAAGCCAGTAATTAATTAATACAAGGGGATATAAATAAATATTATAATAATCTCGTGATCCACGAGTCATTAGAATTATATTGTTGACAAAAAAAAAATATTGTTGTCATTATGGAGCAAATGAGTTGAATTTGAATAGTTGATCGTGCATAATGATGTTTGACGATTCAACTAAGAATAGTCGTTTAAGTTCAAAAAACCCTAAGAATAGTCGTTATTGGTGCAACATTTTGATGGAACCTTTATACTCTCGCTTGCTAATGTTTCAGCATTTCAAGTCTTTCTTTCACTAACGAATTTTAAGTCTTGCTAAGTTGCTATATATGATCAGGAACGGATGATTTAGTTTGACTTTAGACAAATCCATCGGCATAGGATGTAATCCGTCAAGAATAAATAAGAAGATTATTACATTAATTTCTATAAATAGTCTACAATGACATTTGAGCTAACAAGTTTTTGTAAGAAATGTTATCATGCAGTGAATTTATCACTTACAAACAAAGAATGTATAAATTATATAGTTTATTCAATTTGGAGGGGGGGGATTAGTTCCTACAACAACACGTAGAAATTTACTTTTATGTGGTTAATCATCTGGGTGGAGTAGACTCTTGATGAGGGATAATTTAAAATGTAAAGTACATTATGATAAACATGAACTTTACATCAGACGTGTCACGTATGTATTACCTCTCTACCGCTTTAATTAAGTTAACAGCAGTTGGTTAACATTAATAATCTTGGATCATCCGCTTGAGGAGTGGAGAGTCTGGATACGCCACGCACGTCCCCACAAGTTAGACTCAATGTGCTCAGAATGTGATAATATATTTTATTGCTGTGATCTAAAAAAGCCATCATTATTGTTATGTTAATATAAATTAAGACAACGAGTACCACGAGTCGCCATTTCTTTTATTTGAATTTCATGATCTGGTAAAACGTAAAAGAACAAAAAGTTTTTGTATTTCTTGGAAAATTAAGAAGATTTCCAAATATATATTTCAAACATTAATATACGTTTACTTGTAATTTACCAGACGAAACTACGACTATGTGTTGGACTTTATTGGAAAACTTAAATGGTACTGTATTGGTTAAACTTATAATACCCTTCCATTAACAAAAACAAATCCACTTGTAAGTAATTAGATGTAGTAATATGGATATTTAATGAGGGTTGATTACGTAATTATTCGTTAGTTATAGAATAATTTGAAAGTCTTAAACTCCGTACTAGAAAATTGAATCATTTGTCCTTAGTAGGGCTGAGCAAAAAATCCGAACCGAACCCGACCCGATAAAAAGGAATCCGAACCGATCCGAACCCGAACTTAAATGGATATCCGAAAGAACCCGAAACTTTAAAATTCCAAACAAACTTGTATCATATCCAATCTAAATTTCTAATATGTTTTCCAAAACAGAAAAATATATTGTTGAGTACCTACAATAATTAGTTAGGATATAAATATTTAACTCAAATATTAGTCTAATATATAGTGTTATTTAGTTAATATTTATGTTTATGATTGACATTACATTTGAAGTTAAGTTACGAATAAATTTGTTTTGAAGTTTATATAATATTGTTTTTTTTAAGTTTAAATAGTACTTCTTACGTTTATAGAATTGTTGTTGACTTTAATTTTTTATGTTTCATTATGTATAACATTTCGTTCATACAAAGTTTTGGTTTGTCATTAATCATGATATGTTTAGTATTGTCACATGTAGTTCAATGACAAATCTTATATGGTTGATAGACGAGTTTCACAATATTATTTTGAAGGAGAACAATATGGTTTGTAGAAGCTAAATACACAAATTTAATAAAATGATTGAAAATATAGTATAAATTAGTATTTTTAGAACCGATAACCCGATTAGTATCCGAAACCGAAATTATTTTGGGTTCAACTGGATCTTGGACATGTTACTAAACCCGAACCGAACCCGACTAAACCTGAACCGAATCCGACCCGAATTTTTATAATATCCGAGTGGGGTTGAAATTCATGAACCCGAAAATTCGAAACCCGAATGAACCTAAACCGAACCCGATTGGGACCCCGATTGCCCAGCCCTAGTCCTTAGTAATAAATTACTCCTTCCCTTTCAAAATGATTTATGTTTTAAAGTTTACACACATATTAAATAAGATATATTAAATTTTGATTATAAATATATTTTCGAAATTTACAATTATTATCTAATAAAAATATATTAAAAATATAAAATCTAGGTCATTTTAAAAAGGAGGTATGGAGTATATTCTACGTTGCAATATCATATACATATTCGATCGAATAAGACAATACGGTTCTCGTCATAAAGAAAAAAAGAAAAGACAATACGCTTCCAAATTCCAACGATGAAATGACCGCGCAGTGCCGTCAATGGAAGCTTCATACGTACTAAGATTAAATTAAAACTCAAGTTGTTTAAATAATTAGGCATCTCAATAATTGTAGTATTATATATTAATACAAAATAGAAAATTGCAAAAAAAAATTGCACAATAATACAAAACACGATAATTAAGGATCGATCGTTGGATCGGTTTTCCAACGATGCGACTATACGAGTATCAAGGAAATAAATAAACAAACAAAACAGGTGACAGACCGCACTGTATTACTCCATTATTTAGGCAGATGCGATGCACGACCAAATTATAGAGTAGTTAAGGAAATGATACATCAAAGGGTGTTCCTGAGCTTTGGTACCCATCGTGTCGTGTCACCATCTTCATTCTCATGTTCTCGCTTTCACAATATTTTGCTAATAAATCTTAATATACGATATTATACATAACATACGCGTAAATTTGTCCAAAATATGTCTTGGAATTGAATAGTCGTCATCGAGCATCCGTTTGTTCCGAATGACATACAAGTCAAAATATGTGATCTGCTTCATGAATTTGGAATATCTCAATGGTCTTCAAACTTTGAATTAGCTGATTTTACTATTTTCTGGTTTCTGTTTGCTTACCTCTTCAGTGATTGACGTCTTCTCTTTGTGTTACTATTCTGTCTTTTGATGGACTTGTAATCCCATTTTAGTAAAAGAAGTTTGTTCCAATTATTTTACTAGCTCGTTGAATTATACTGTACAGTTGTTAGCACTCCAAACAAACAAAAAGATTTACTAAAATCACAGCAGAAGAAACCTCCTTAATTTAGATAGCAAAAAAAGCAACACGCACCTACATAAAGTATGAGACAGACCAAATATAACAATAGACCATACAACTAGACAAACTCACAACATAATGGCATATCAGATTGGTTCTGCATCAGTTGGCTGCGGGTCTCAGTGTTTGTATATAGTCACCAGCTTGTCCATAAAACCAAACGAGTGGTCTTTCTTCCCCAGCACGAATCCATTCCATAAGAGTCGGACATTCTCTCTTGTTAGTCTTAAATTTAAGGTAATCCTTATTTGTCTGCTTTGTTTTTAGGTGGGCTTTGCAGCCCTTTGAATGCTAGGCCCAAATCCAAGCAATTCCACCGAGAAGGAGCCTACGAAAACCTCCAGGCCCTGTTTAGAAGAGATGCCAGCTTAGATCAGACCTATCTAGGGTTTCGTGATCCAGACGGCAGCGTTACGAACCAGATACGGAGGAGGTACATAACTACATACATACATTCCACATTTAAACCGGTTTTAACCGGGTTCATATTTGCAGGAAGCCAGACAGCCAGTTGATTAACTCACCTTAAAGGACATTGCAGATTTCACCAGCAAGATTACTGCAGAGTCTTTGACGATGTCATCTTTAGAATTGTTTTTCCTTTTAATTACAAACTTTAATCTGATCAAAGTTGCTTATTGTATCTTGTGATGATTTCGTTTGATGTGTTAAATCTTAAATGTTCCAAGCTACGACTCTGTAAGCAGTAGATTTTTTTAAGCTGCTCAAAGCAAAAAAAAAAAATTTGCATCAAAAGAAAAGAATTTGTGACCTGTGATATAAAAAGAAAGCATTTTTTAGGATATTGCACCATTTTTTTTTCTTTTTGGTAAGTCTATTAAATAGCAACATTTTACGACCATTGTTTATGGCAACATGCCTCCAACTTTTTAATTTTTCGCATTTCTTCGCTCGTCAATAATGATTAATGAAACGTTATCCAACTGTTTACTCTCTTTTTGTCCAGCTTCGGTTTTAAATTTTTCTTGATGTAGAATGTTGAGAAATTTATAGAGACATGAAGATACATTGAGCATTGTATAACACAGTGTTTAATCAATAATCTTAAATTATGAGCTCTTCATGGTAATATCTTTTGGCTACTTTGGTCCAACAATTAAAGAAACTCTGCATCCAAATAAATGCTTTTATATACAAACTTTAAATAGTGTGATGTGATCGTTAACAAGAAGAAGAAGAGGAAAATAGTGTGATGTGATCCAAAAGAAACTCAATGAGACAAAGTTCCCTCATGTTTTTTGAAATGTAAAAGCATATTCATCTCTTTGACCAAAAAAAAAAGCATATTCATCTAGAGTGTAAAGTCTAAACTACACCTAAGGTTTAAAACCTTAAATTAAAAGGCTATTATGGAATCTTTTTGGCAGATTACGAGGTTAATGTAACTCTTATCCTTTTCTTTGACATGGTAAATAGAGCTTATCAAAAGCCGTTGAAACAAATTTTATTTTATTTTGGGTTTCAGAAGAACGAATATCATGACGTAAACACGTATCAGGCTTCGACCAATCATATTCCCTGGTGCTTTTAATAATGATTAGATGTAGAAACATTACAAAAGACTTTGAAAATTTCGTAGTCATGATAACGTCATATCGTACTTGTCTGATGCTACATGGATTCGCAATTTATTGCAAATTTCAACCTCATTTCGTCATCATAGGTAGTATATATTAATATCTTCTCGATTACTCACATATTTGAATTTCAAATTCTCCAAACCACATACCCCAAGTTCAGTTAATTAATCTATTAATGCATTTATATGATACTATAACCTTAACATTCTACTCTTGTACATGATCTTTTGAATAAGCTTCTTATTTTTCTATTATATAATATAACCTTATTAATTCATCACTACATAAAAACACTGAAGTATCCAATCACAATCGAAGAGTGGTAATTAGTCTAGTACTAGTAAATAATAAACTAGAAACAAATTTAACATTTTCTTTTCCATAGCAAAACTTTACAAAAATAAGAGCCCGAAGAAAAGGGAGAAACTTAAAAGACCAAAAGATAAAAAAATAATAATAAAGAAGTCCAAGGCAAAGACGAGAAACATTTCTTTCTAATTATAGAATCTAAAATCCGCCGGTTCTTGAGGAAACTGATGATCATAAAAACGTTTTTCTTGTTGCCGTTGCAGTAATTGCGGTTGCGGTTGGACCCTCCTCACGCCGCTAACGCTACTCCTAGCCGCCATAATCTCATCAAGAGACAACCTCTTTCTATCAGGACGCTGTCTCGGCGCGCTATGGGAACGCACCTTGGCCTTAAACGACTGCGTATTAGCCATATAACTCGGTGTCATTAAACCAGGATAACTCGGCCTGAAACAAACGTCTCTGCAAACGCTTTTTGCCGGTGAAGGCGGTGCATAGTAATGATGATTATTCGCCATCGATGAAGAGAATCTTGGAGTGTTTTGAGCCGTAGGAAACTTGCATTTATCTCCTGGAAAACTCCATTCAAAATCTTTGCCTTGATAATTAAAATCATCGCCACATTCCGATACAGCAACATTCATTCTCTTTGATTTTGTCTTGTAAGTGTCAATCTCAACAATCTTGGGACTGGTCTCATCGTACATGTTGTTGTTGTAACTATGTCTCTCGACAGAGATTGACATTCTCTTGCTATGGACTTCACTTCTTGAATCATCAAACCTCTCCTATTATTAGATAATCATTAAACTTAAGTCTCACCGTGGTGGAATTAAGACAATAGCAATGAATATAATGGTCTTACAAGGGAATGTCGTGGATGTAACATGTTGTTGCGGTTGATGCGTTGAGACCGAACGCTAGTTTGTGCTCTGATGAGAGCTTGCATGCTGTGAAGCGTTTCGGCGGCGCGTTTGCGAACTAAGTATCCTCTCACCAAAGCTTGTAGCTTTACTAGCCCTTTCAAAGCTCTTAATGCTTTCCTCGCCTAAAACAAAATTCAAATTAATATTTTTATAAAACTTAAGAAAAACTTAATCATTATATTAGTGTTTTTAATCTGAAGAAAAAAAAGAATCTAATTTTTTTCTTGAAATTAACAAAGACGTGTACTGTTTCATTAAGGAAAGATGTGCAAGGACCAAGCAACGTACAGACATGCTTTTCTTTAGACATCCGAATCTAAACGATTACCCACATGGCAAAACTCGATTTTTTCGTGTCTAAACCATAACAAAAAGAGTTTGAAGGATATATTTAAGTAATTTACCAAATAGCCCTTGAAGACTGTTTGAATTTTCACGGCAGCCCACCGCTCCACTCCGTTCCCGCCGGAATATCCTCCGGCTCTTCCGTTACTTGTTAGCCTAACCACCGCGACGGCAGCTTGAGCAGCTGCAACCGCCGCGTCTGCGGCTGCGGCAGTGGCGGCAGCAACCGCTATCGCGTGTTTGTTCTGTTCCTTGTCTGTTTCCGCCAAGTAGGTTCTTAGCCAGACGGAGTCTTCTTGGAGAACTTTCCGGTGAATGTGGGATCCACCAGCTTCTCCTCCTCCATTGCCGGAATATTCCCCGTCGCCGGAAACTCGGTTCTCTTTCTCCTTGCTCTTTTTCATACCGAAAATACCCTTGAACCATCTCGCTGCTCTGCCCATCTTCTTGAATAACAGTTAAAGAGTGAAAAGAAACAGAAATCACAAATAACCAGACGAACTTTTCGTATGCAAGAAAATGGAGACGGAAGCAAACTTATGGCACTGAAAATGAAGACTAGTATGATGTTTAGTGAAAGAAGCACCGTGGAAAGAGAGATAAGAACTTGAGAGAGAGAGAGAGAGAGGGAGCGATGGAAATAGATTCTTTGAAAATAAATATGAGGTTCGCATTTATATATAAGTATTATTTGAATTTAAACTCGAGCAAAGGACAAATAGGTTGATTATAATAAACTATTTCTGTACATTTGTTATGGAGAATTTTTGTTTTGAAATGAACCGTTTGGTAAAGAGCTAGCTAACCTTTTGTTTATACGATATAGCTTCAGATATAAGGTAATGTATTTTGAATTTTAAAACATGAACAAATATTAGTATAATTTAAGCGTCATAGTGAAGGTATACTTACTTTTCTCAGCAAATAAATCTATTTTTAAATATTGAATTTGATTGACAAAAAAAAAAAAAATATTGAATTTAATTTGTTAGTTTAGTTGCTCAATAAATAATACTCTGAACCAAAAAAAAAAACTTAGTAAGACAAACAGTTACTTCATTTGAAAATACCTTGGATTCAGCTGCAATGAACTGACAACAGTTGTAGTCATACTTTTTGAAACGTGAAAAGTAGGAATCATTACTCAGAAATTTGAAAAGCGAATAATCTGATAAAAACAAAAGAAGAGATAAACCTTAAGCTAAATAGTAATGCATTTATCGTATATTTTTACACAGTGTCTAGATTTTAGGGCAGTGCATAATTATCTGTAAAAAAAAGATCTGACACAACCTCGTGAAGTACTGAATTACAAGACAAAATGATGTCATGGAGAGACAAAAGATGGAGCGCTCTAGTTTTTATATTAATCGATTTATTCGAATTATTTCTTAAAATATGCAAAAATGGTAAGAAAATTAGAAAATCAAACACAACGGAACACGGATCTGCAGACAAACAATGAAGACGAACAGAGTAAATTATTTTTCAAACTAAAACTACAAATAAACACACCTCAGAGATTTTAAAGTGGTGTTATCTGCCTCCCCATTGAGTAATAAAAAAATGTCTTTATGGAGCATTGTGTTCTTACTCGATATTAGAGATACCCTTCTCGTAATTGCCGTCATTAAGTTAATTTGATTATCCCATTTCCCGTCATCAACCCATAATCCCATCTATTTTTAAATGCTAACTTTTCTTAAGTTAAAAAAAAATTAATGGATTGTGAAGCATTACCGCTAATTTATTGGTTGTTATTTGGTATGAAGCATACACTTAAGCTAATTGCATTGATTATGGAATGATGTTAACTTATTTCTAAATCAAGTCTGGTTTAGAAATGAAATGAGTGTATGATTTTATGATTTATAGTAGTTCGGAAAAGTCTATTAATAATGTAATGCAGTACCAAACGTTAAATATGTTGTAGTTGACAAACGTTGACCAAGAAATTTCCATTGTTATTGCTAGCTTATGGGAAACAAATGAGAATCTGAAAACTTTATGTATTAATGATGAGTTTCTGTTACCAATCAAAGAAGTTAGTAGAATTGCGTTTGTCGACCTCGAGAAAAGAAATTAACTTTGTGAAACAACGTACCTTTTAACGTTCTTCTTTGTACTTTTTGGGGTGTGGTTTATTTGGTAGAGTTGGGTATAGATTCTAGAGTTGGTTATGGGAATGTCGGAGTAATAAAATGTATACATCCAGTAAAAATAAAACTGATCAATAATTTTGTTATATATAGATGTGTCTTAAATCTTGGTGAACCAGTAAAAACTCAATATTTATTTTTATTTTCTATAGATAATTATGTATTTTTATAAAGAAAAAAAAGCGAATTTTGATATTACTATAAATATAAATCTAATAAACTGTAAAGTTATTCATTCACACAACAATATATAAACCCTAAAACAGTATTTTATCAATTCGTTTTATTCTCTTTACTTTTCTTAATTGATTCACGTTTCTTCATAACAATTTTAATTAACGTGAATTATCTCTTGACAAAAAATGTTTATGTATTTATATTTTCATCCAAAATAATAAAAGTTACATATCAGCAATAGCAATAGTAAATTACCTAGATTTGTGACAAGACTATTTGTACGCTGCATCCAAGTATGTGTATTACCGATCAGAAGTAAATTACTCGGCAATCAAATGAGTCAAAATTGAGTAAAACTGTGGTTTGACTATTTCTTAATCAGTAAACTGTGGTTTGACGGTTTGGTAATCAATATATATTCATTCTATTTCATTTTAGTTAGACATTTGTTTATAAAACTATCATAATTTATTTTTGTTAAGCCTTTTCTTTTTCGTTACTTAATTTAATATCTCAATTAATTGTTTTTTATTTTAATAGATAAATTTTTAAAACAATGTCTATTTTAATATCCAAAATTTATTTATTTTAATTTAAAATGCAAATTATTTCAAACAAATTAGAAAAAATCTCCAAAATTTCCAAAAAATCTTATTTTATTTTCTGTTTGAGAAATAAAAGTAAATAATATATGTATAATCTTGGGAGAATTTCAATTTTACCACATTCCATGTACCACTTTTCATTTTTACCTACACTTATAGGACATTTTCATAAATACCTAAATCATTTATGGGTAAATGTCAAATCTAACCCTGAGTTTTCTTTTCTTTTTCTGTTTCTGCGTCGTCTTCTCCGGAGAAATCAAACATTCGGCGGCTACGAAATATCTCTCTCTCTCTGCTTCTGAGTTTCTCTCTCTCCCTCTGTTAATTGTAGTGGATATTGAGCTCGGTTTCTCGAAAATGGCGGTTTCTCTGAGAAAACTCGTTCCTTCCTTCTACATAATTGAGAGATGAATCGAAGTTTTAGGGCACAAGAGTCGTCTTCGTCTCTATTGCTGGATTCAGCAGAGAGGCAGAGACAACAGCTTAGGGCTTCTATGATGGCTGATAAAGATGAGGAGCTTTCTTTGTTTCTTGAGATGAGACGGCGTGAGAAAGAGCAGGATAATAGTCTCCTTCTCAACAACAACCCTCATGAGTTCGACACTCCGTTAGGTAACATTTGTGTAACATTTGATGTCTTTTCTGATTTGGGTTTCTGATTACTTCTTGTTGGTGTTGGTTGTGTAGGTTCAAAGCCTGGAACTTCACCGGTGTTTAACCTCTCAAGTGGTGGTGGTCCGGCAGGAAGGAAGACTGGTCCTCCTGATGATTTTCTCAATTCTGAAGGGGAT